AATAATCAATAAACCGAACATAATTTGGGAACAGAAAATCTTACTGCAATAATTCATAGGTCAAAATGAAACTTATAATAGGATGAATATATATAAATTAAACCTAACCACTCGATAGTTAAATAACAAGAATATATATATAGAATTATAGTCCATTAATAGGCTGGGGGACCTGCTTTAATGTTGCATTCCTACTGTTTGAGGATGGTGGGTAACTGCAGAGTAGCTGAAGGCCAGCTCAACTCTTTTCTAAAGTGTTTGGTCCATCATTCCAAACGTCTAGGCTGAAAGCAGAATAGGACTTTATCTCTTTCCGAGATTGTACCACTTACACTTGATTTCTTAATCCCAGTTTCTTTTATTAGTCTGATGAGTTGCCTGGTGTTGCCTACAGACGCTGTCTTTTCCATCTCTTTTTCTTTCGTTGCCAATCACTTCTCAAGATCATTCCGTAGACTTTTGGCTAACATAGACTTGATCTGCTTTCACTCTTCATCGTGTCCATATCCTGATGAGATGATTTTAGGAGAATCCACCAATGCAATAGAAATCCACTGGTCTTTTGTAATCTTTTGGTTTAAATTACTAGTAGATGTTACTGCTGTTTCCACAGCTGTTCATATATCTTTGCAAGCAACGTCTGGGTCAGTCTCATTTAAAGAACTACCTAGATGTGACCTCAGTTGTTTCCGGAATCTAATTGTGACTTTCTGGTCACTCGATTCAACTATTAATGTGTCTTTTTAGTATGGTTTTTCTGCGTCCAATGAGGCGCATGTAAATGCATGCCCGTATTAGAGCATGATCAAAGTCTAAACATGCGCTCCAGGACGATCCGCAGTCTTCTATGGAGCCTCTAAAACGACATGTGATGGCAATATAGTCTATTTTATTCCACCGTTGGTTTAGTGCATGTGGTCGCCATGTTAGACGACAACTCTCCATGCGCTTAAAATTAATGCCTGCTAAAAATAAACAGCTGTCTGAGTACAGTTGCAACAGACAATCACAATTGTTTGTTCGCTCAGCCAAAATATTAAAATACCTACCTAAATGTCTTTCCGTCCAGTTTAGGCTACCTATTGGAGCATTAGAGGAAGGGTGGCGTTACTGAGCAGCAAACATGATGATCTGGAGATAACTTCAATCCATCCGTGTCTGTGGGGCAGAACATATTAATTACGGCTCTTTACGTCTAGTGGGATGTCACGAACCAACGGTATTGATGCGAAATTATTCATGCAAAATATCACTTTAAATCATGTTAAAAAAGCTGAATTGGTTCCACTTCCTGCCGAGTAATACAATTACAAGCAAAATAGACAGTTGGCTAAAAACGAAGCCCACTCTATACCCTATAAAATCTGTAAACAAAAAAAAGAGAGTTCAAACAGCTTGTAAAGTAAATGGAGACAGTCATTTGTATCGGAATACTGTTTTCAACACTTTATTTTATAATTACACAATTCCATACTTCCTTCTGCACTACCTTCATTTATACAGTTTCTTATCTACTCATACCTTGCCCACACTTATTTTTCTTTAACACATTAGTATGCTCTTACCTAATAAGTACTTCAGTAACAGACAAATAGACTAAATGGTTATACATTAGCCATTCCTCCATGAATATTGTGTGCTCTGCTTTTCGTCCTTCCCTTTTCTTACACCTTTTTCAGCCTCCTGCAGATACTACACCGAAAACAGATATGGCACGGGTGACCTCATCTTACACCGTTATTGAAGCTTCCAATATTCTGGAGGGATATAAGTACGAAACTTCTAAAAGCCCCCAACTTCACATGTATCTATTCTCGGCCATCACTTGTATGTTGCAACGCTACCTCCATAAAATGCGTCAAGTGTGATATTGACATGTTCCTTACGAAATCCATTTACATTAATATCTTATGAAATATCAAAGCAGCTGAGTAATTTTCAACAGTGAAAATTGCAACTTCTTTAACAATTTGATCTTGCCTGTAAACCGGCATGCCTCATGTAACAAACTGTTATTTGAGAATAAATTATTATTATTATTATCATTATAGTCAACTGCTGCGATTACTATGTTTAAGCGTTTAGCTTTTTAAAGAATTTTAGAAAGCTTCCCGTAAAATTCATCTTTTATTTTACTGGAGATTCAGTCACTGTAAGCGTAGGCAGAAACGTTTAAAAGTCAACGACATGTGTTCTTATACTTCCAAATTCTTACAGATCCACTCAGCTGAACATCACATAGACGATTGTTAACAGGGATCTGCCCTAACAGCTCTTGTCCTGCCCTCATTCTTACCTCTGTGCCTACAACTTTTAGTACGCGAGAACTAGCTATCTGGTCGCCAGATACTCCTTAGCTCTTCGTTTCGGTGAAGTGAGGTCAAGTGAATGACCACACTAGGAACTTGTATGCGTGTTTCGGAGACACAGGACACACAAATGATATGAAATTATAAGGTTTTAGCCAAGGAGGCACGCTGACTGACTTGACGTAGAGTATTTACTTTGAAGGCTACAATGTGAAGCTTGGGGAGAGGTTTCAGTAAACCTAGGACAGTGTTTCGCGTCCTAGGATCGTTGGACAAGACAACACTTGAGGAGAGGCCAAAAGAGGAGGTTCAAAGTTAATAGTAAAAGTAGGAGGAACAATAGGAAGTGAAGAGGAATGTTTACTATGAATACAGTGATCTTGAGTGCTATTAGGATTATGACGGTGGCTTTCAATTCTTGGTTGCCTACATTGCGGAAGAGTTCTTTTAGAAGTACCTGAAAAGAAAACCGCGTTGGACTTGGTCCCAGTGACTTGAGAGCGTGACCACAGTGCCCAGGGAACAACTGCTTGAACATGGTCATACACGCCCCCTATGCGGCTAATTTCTGTGTTAGCTTCGTACGTACTGGGACTATGATGCCGGAGACGGAATTCTATGGGAAGACAGCATCGCTGTTATGCTAGTTGTCTGAAGGGAACACCTTACTGCTGTCACACCTCTGAACAGTCGACAAACGATTTTGACCCCGGACCTTTGGTTTGCTGCTTTCAATCCGACCACCCTTAAACCAACCTGTCTAGCATGGTAGGCCACTGAAGAAGAACTGTTGCAGCCAGTATTGCTCGACTGGTTCACTAAGGTAGATAAACCCGACCACCACGTCGCCGTAGAAGCAGTGGTCGGGTAAGATTTTACAAATGACTAAGAATCTCAAAGACAACCTGTGTGAACTCTCAGTAAATATGAAATCAGGTTACCCATAAGAGATGGTGAGGACTGATATCATTAGGACGTTACGGGAAACCAACAGAGGGAATAAATATATTTTGATGATGGTAAATCACTTTACAAAGTGATGTGAGGCGATTTCCTTGAAAAGTACGGATGCTCAAACTGTAGCTGAAGCGGCGTTTGAAATCAGTTTTTCGTCGGAGCGCCAAAGTTCAGTTACATTCGCATAACGGCACCAACTTTGGAAACATATGTTTTAAAGGATTATGACAAGTGTTGGGGATTTGCAAAAGCGCGAACTACTGCTTACTATTTAGAATGCAGTGGGCTTGTTGAGCGAAATAATCGGATTCTCAAAACAATACTGATGAAAGCATTTGTCAATCAGAAGGAAATTAGATCCTCGGACCTAGCTGTAAACAAATGTTTACTGACATATCGCGGCAGTGTTCACACGTCGACTCGACATACACCTAATCTACTATGGTCGAGAAGAGATTTGAGGCTTTCAGAGGAGTTTTTAACACTAACGACGTACGAAGACCCTTTACTAGCATCAGACATGTTCATAAAGCTTCGAAAGTACAGTTGGGTGGGGCACAAGGACATCAAAAGGAGTAATATGATAAGAAGTTTCATGGAGCACCATTACAACAAGGAGAAAATATATGGTTAAAAATAGGAAACACGTCGGCAGGAGGAGAGAATGGACAGATCCTTATGAAGTAACCGGAGAACTAACACAATCTAAGTCTGAAATAAAAGATACCAGAAATGATTATTCACTACATATAACTAATACATGAGTAACAATAGTCTGCATTAAAAAGACCTAATTTATGATTATCTTCTGTTTCATTTGTAGCAGGTCTCAAAGTGAGGGAGGAAAACTATTATATATCCTGTAGTGATTTTCTGTTATGTTTTGTGTTCCGGGATGGTTGTTCAGTTTTGTGTTCCTGCTAATTACTAGCGCTGTGTTGCTGTTGAAATATTACCATACTTCTCCATAATTGTTTACTCTCGTTACTTGAAAAAATTTCTCTTTGTAGTTTATTGAAAGTGATTAAGGACAACGGTTAGAAGAGGGGAAGCAGTGTAACATTAGCGACACGGTAAGATATGAACAACATCTGTTTCAAAATTATTGAATAATTTATTGGTTGAATCAATACGTGTAGTTGGGCAACTGTAGTCAGTTTGAAGCTAACTGGGTTGAGAATATGAACGTGTCTCATCTGGGGACTTACTCCAACAGCAATTTCAGTCAAATGAATGAGCGACTCAATAAATTATATGTAACCCTAACACTCTGATAACATGAATCTAAGTCTCACATGGCGTCTGACAGAATGACTAGTACATAAAAACGGGGTCCTAGCAGAGGATCTGTGCAACGGCACACTCAAGAGTTAATCCTCAACAATTATTTACAACCAACTCGTCTTCTGTTCTTGACACTAATGCTTAGCAGATGCAATAACGAACAAAAGCGTCCTAAAAGTCCGATGAAATTCCATTAACTCAGTGATTTGAGAGCGATGTAACCATCGAATAACAAAAACGTTATAAAATGATGAGTATTAAACGCACATATCAAACATTTCTTCACCGAACACTATTCTCCTTCTTATAAAAATAGCTCGACTTTCCAACCTAGATGGAAAAAATAAGTAGTTTCCGACGTGCAATCCATGACACATATGTGAACATTGAAGGATGTTTTCTTGGAATACTGTATATTGATAACATGTACGGCGGGGCTTCGTACACGTGATGAATTCTATTAATGCAGTGGTTTGTGGTTGGAATCAAATCACGGCATCTGTAATAAAGATGCTCAGGAGACATAAAGATGTAAATATAATTGGATACTGGTGTGAATCTCCGAATAATCAAATTCATGCGGATGTTGCTGGTATAAAAGTTATTAGTGGGGCTTTTAAAGACCTAATATTAAATCAAGATATACAGTTTTTATTTCTTTGTGATACTCCGGTCAATCAACGCAATATTTTCTCAATTGTTGATTGCTTGAGCATAGGACAGTCTACTTCGGATAAGGTATTGAAAGACATCCCTTATGTGATTATTCTTCCTCCCGTATCACCTAATTATGATATGGATATGTTGGAGAAAACCAGGATTCGTGTCGGTTTCGCCATGCCCTTAAGGCACCTACCTTTATCTACACTTTTGTCCACTCACCTTAACTACAAATATAAAGAAATAAAAGCACTCAGTAATTACGAAATTATCCGACTCCCTACACATTGGTTATTAGGAAATATAGAAAGCATCCATATAAGATTGCGCACGGTCAATTTCGTTGATGGTAGTGAATACTCATGGCTATGTGAGTCAGAAGAAATGGGTGGAGGGCTGCTGAATATGTTCTGTCCAGGTCTTATTGACCTCGTTTTCTTCCTTTCTGGAGGGCTTCAGATAACATCGGTTACGAGTATTGGTCGAATATCCGATAGAGGAACAGACGGCCTAAGTCATCCTATTCGTCATATCTCTGCAGATGACTATGTCACTATAATGGGCGAACTCGAGAAACCACCATTATCAGGATTTCGTAAACCAGTAGTTGTCGTAATCCTTTCAGCAGATATCCCTTTCCCAAGAAATAGGATAAGCAGTCTCCCTGAAGCTCATTTTTATGACAATCATTGTTTCAGGCTGGAAATAGAAGTTAATGGATCAACTGGTAGCTTCTTGATTGATGAAGGCAAAAGACGAATTTCATGGACCCCTCGAAAAGCCGTCTCATCAAAGTCTGGTAAACTTAACAACAAATCAGCTCATTTGGACTGCGAAAATCACTTCCATGACAAACGACTTGGAAATATGGAGGAATATGAATTAGAAAAAGAGTATATTGAGGACGTACTGGCCAGCCCTAATGGTAGTAACGTGCCTCGAACTCAGGTTCCTACGATGCTAAACATCGATCTCGATGAGGATGGAATAACAGAAATAGTTCATCTACCACTAAAAGTAAGTTACACGAAATGATGTTATTAATACTATCTATTATCATGTTACATTTGTTGACCATATGTTTTGTTTAGCATCCTGTATTATCTATACTATTTATTTACATCAGTCTCATTCATCGTAGCTGACCATCAAACTGAGGTACTATGAAGTAATAGATACGTGAAACTCAATAAGAAGCATCCATGAGTGTCAGTAATAAGTAACTCTAAATTTAATTAGGATTTTTTAGCGTATAGCTATGGATAACTATATATTACCTAAAGCTCCCAGCAATAGCTTTAAAGCCGTAATCATCATACTGACAAGGACAGTTGTTCATCGTCACTTTAATGGTGGACCCCATTGATATTCGCAAATAAAATATTTGATTTAGTCAGGAAAACGTGCTTAAAGCTGTTTGGGTAAGGCGGAGTTGTGTATGACCTAGTAATAATTTCATAATAGTATATGCCTGGACCAATTTGCTTACTCTCTGTCTTTCTAACTTTCAGACGTTCTTTTCCACGCAGGACTCATTAAATGACTCGGAATCAGTGGAGAGTGCTCAACATCGTTATCTATCAGCAACTGGAGAAGCATGGACAAACTGGATCAGTGGTTTAACCAAACACTTTTCTCCGGGGTGGAAATCATTCGAATCCCTATCGGCAGGACCCGGCCATTGGGCTTACATCCAGTCAGTTATGCACGCGATAAGCAAGTCCACACAACTGAGATGTTGGATCGACGTACAAACTGGGAAACGCATGTGATAGCTTTCGTAATGTTATTGCAGTGAAAATCAGGAAAAGATACATCTCATGGCCAAACTTTACGGAACCCAAGAAAACATGTAACATCAAATTAACAAGGATTGGTCTATGAGTTCAAAAAATCAAAACGGGTTTTTAATCAAGAGTCCTTGAAATAGACTTTACATTATTAACTGATTGACTACAAAGCGCTTTTTTGTGCTTATCGAATAAACGGTTGAACTCAGGTATTTTACTTTTGCAAACTGTGAATAAGATGTAGCACTTGCAACCGCCGAGTATTCGAACATTTCCTCGCCTGCGTTGATTTAGACCCAGTAGGTTCATAATCGTATTATCATTTTGTTATTTTAGTCTTGTATTTGTATTTTTGAAGTAAAGATGATCCCCTGTTGAGTTTAAGTCAGTCAGCCGACTACAATATGGGAGCAGGCATCGATCCAAGTTGCCAAACCTCATTAGCACAACAAAATGAACAACAAATTCATAGAAGTAGTTAATTTAACGGTGGTAATACATAAAAGAAAGATTGTATATAAGGATATGACACAGGAAGAATTGGTTGGTAGAAAGATATAAAGCAATTTTAATCTCACGGTTTAAGGGAAGACAGACTGTATACACCTACACCATTGTGGTCGATTTTCAGCCATTTCAACCAGTCTCCAATCAGTGGTTATGATAGTCACGCGGACCCCAAACAAGTAGTCTGCATCTATCAACATGGCTAAGACTAGAAGCTAGTGACTTCAAGGACTGATGCCACATTTTTGTTTGGCCTCTCTCAACTTTCTTCCGCCCATATCCAACACTAGTCAGCATTTCGCGTCGTGGTAATCGGTTTTCAAGCATACTTAACACGTATGAGTTTAAGTAATAAAAGATTATGTCATACGGAACTGTATATAAATCGGCTTCGTAAAAAGTCTTTACAACATATTCCGAAAACTCTAGATGGCTATTTCGTCAGATCACAACTTAATTAAATCTGTTCAACATTGAGTAATTATTATTAAGAGACAAAAGTAACAGATTAATAGGAGTACAGAGCAAGAAAAGTTCAGATAAAAAATGGGCAATCTACAACAAATGACAAACGTTATTCACATATAAAAGAGGACGGGAAAAAGTTCTTGTTTATTTGTCCCATCCTTAGGTAAAAAGAAAAGACAGATACACGAGCTCTAAAGAAATTGTAGATGCAGAGATAATTAGTCTTGAATAAGCGTCATTGTTATCAAGATAACTGTTCATTGATCTTTTCTGTTATCGGTTTACCACCTAAGCACACTTCATCCACGTCGAGGTAGGCGACACATTTCGCATTCATCAGTACCAGGACTATTATGAAAAGTACAGTGAGAACATGCCCAGTGACTAGACTCTGAATTTTGTAGTTCTGTTGTCCCCGACGGTGTTGTTGTTTGAGATGACCAAGTTGACTTAAGTACTGATGTTGGACCAACTCCTAAAGAAACACTAGAACCACTGAGCGCAGAACGATATGAGTCTGATTGAGTAGGCAATGGAGGACTAGGTGGCATATCTGTTATGAAATGAGAAAACAAAACAGTTGAATTCTTTGTTGATGATCGCGTTAAACATGATAAAGTCAGTCGACTTTGCAATTTATCACTAGAAATATTTTGATAATAATGAAATATAAAAAAAACTGACTACAATCGAGTATAATACTTAAATCATCCCTTGATTCATATCAAGTTTAAAAAAGTAAAATGTAAACCAGCTGTTATTTGATTTAAATTTGACAAGTACGTGACAACAAATAACCGCCAAGAGTTTCACGAAATAACATAATCAACCATATAAAAATAGCATACCATTTGCTAGTAGTATTCTACTAGATGGGGTCACAGTAAATAGGATAATTTTAGATTAGCTCAGTTGACTAAAAGAGCGCATATTTTTTAAAATTTTTGTTTATTAATAGAATACACTACACTAGCCTAGTTTAAAATATACTATAATCTAAGTACTTCACGTTAACATAGTACACATAACCCCTCAGTGAATTTACTTTAATACCTAATCAAATGACAAGTGTAACATACAATGACTAACAAATCGTTTTTGGGATAGATGATGTTATCCTAAGAAAGCTATATAGCACTCTACAGAGTACAAATTCATACATATTTATATTATGGATTATATAAAGCTAACATACACATACAAAATCAAATCATGTGGTTACAAAATTGAAACGACTAAGCAGTTTAATTCACGTAGCCCCCAAATGCCCTGGTACGGCCGAGAGTGGGGAGAGTCCTCTCTCGCTCTTCAAATGCTCTCACATGGTCACGCGAATATATAGCCTCTAAAAGGGAAGTCCTAGTCACTGACTTCTCATGGCATTACTGTTGTTTACGAAATTGAGAGGACGAAAAGCGAATGTCCGTCGCTTCAACCGGGTTGGTGAATACGGAAACTTCACCTAGGGGAGTTGGAAAACCCTGATTCCAAACCAATGGTGCATATGGGCTCCAGTATCCTGAAGGAACAAATTGCGTATGAAACAATTGTTGGTCACCGGCTACCATGGGACTGCATCTACTCACGATGCTCCACCGCCTTGTGGATTAGACCTTTAGGTCAAAGGCTTGGGGTGTGGCCCCCTAAGAAAACCACCTGCTTCAGTCTGGGCACCTGGACAGTATCACAGCCCTCACACAAATCAAATGAGATTTGTGAGGCGCATATTTATCTGGTGCTTTTTGTACCAATACTTATGTGTTTATATGAATAAATAAGTACCGGTTGTTTGAATCTTCTCATTGATGTTCAAGAGTGCAATTGGTACATCCCTTATTGGCATTTGTGCACCCTGTGCAGATCGCCTCGATCTTGTCTTAATTCACAAGCATCATGAACAGAGATGTATGTTAACCACCACCATATATCTGTGCTTATAACTATGTCTTCGTTATCCTCGAGAGTCTGTCTCCTCTTAAGAAAATAACCAAGAATTAGGCCTCACAGTCAAGTCTTAAATGAATGAACAGTTGGTGACCTATTAAATCAACTCTCTTCAATCACTTATAGACATTTTGCCATGGTATCTTTCGTATTTATACTTTGTATATAAGCAATGTCACTTAATGCGAAAAATTTCTTTTCATCTGGCTTATGGTCCTATCATTTGGATTATTTCGATCTCATGAGTATCCATTATTCAGTTACATTGTATCACTGCATATTGTCTATCGATTAGTACATTCTGTTCTTTCGTTTTAACAATCGAAAACTTGTTTATCCAGTTATTAAAATTCTTCACTATAACACATTTACACGTAAACATATATTATGCTTATATAATTAGATCAAAGTAACTTACCGGAAACAACTGCATTAGCTAATTCTTGTACAGTAGCCCAAATTGGTGATTCACTAGCCCATTTCTTAACAGCTAATTCAGATTGTTTTATCGAACTATTATTATTATTATTATTAGATGATTGATGATTAGAACAACGTAAAGCAATTGCATCTAATAAACCAATGATCCCATATGGATCTTCATTTAATTTACCTTCAGAGTTGAAAAGTTGTAAACCTAATGTATCATTGTTAACTAACCATGCAAGTATATGAAGATTAGTCAAACATGTATGAATTTGATCAACTCCAAATTTATGAAGTATACGAGCAAAACTCGGTATATCCTTTACAGAAAAGAAAAGTAAGACGAGAATGAATGAATATTTATTTATAAAGTGTGAAAAAGACATCAAGTAAACTAATAGATAAACATCTAGATATATAATTTCAACTTCGCCTGTAGCTCATCCGAGGGCTACTGCCGGCCCCAAGCCCGGGTAAAGGAGGAGGGTTGAGCATGGGGTTAGCGACCCTATCCTGTAGAAAACCAACTAGCTAAAAAAGCGCTAACCAGATATATAATATTCCTAGGATACATACGAAATAGTGGTTTACATTAATTTAAAGTATACAACTTTAAATTAATAGGTTAACAGTTCACAGATTTATTTTGCACTTCTACTTTGATTTGATTAGACGAATAGGCTAACTACCAATTTTAAGCAACATTAAGCGTTAAAAAAAACACATGACAACGCTCTTCGTCTACGCGTACACGAAAGTAAACTAGCAATGAGTCAAAGTGATACAATATCTATGATATCAAAGCACGTACATAAAAGTGAGTACGAATTCCATTAGAATAACACTAAAATTTTAGATTGAGGAAAGTTTAATATTTCCAGAAGTATAGAATTTAAATCAATGGACATTATAATGGATCTGATCAATCAAAAGATATTATTATTATTAATTAATGGCTTTATTCAATATTATAATCTGGTACAATATAGAATTCTCAGCACGAGTTATTTCAACAAGTTTTTTTTTACCAAAAAAAACAAAAACCAAAAAAAAAAACAGAAAAACGAATAAAAAAGTTTTAAGAAAAACTCGCTTTATACAAATGATCGAATATGAGACATGCTTAAGAATACAGGTTATTTACTAGGTCAACTCCAACAGCCTGTTCGTCACAAAGTAAATTTGCTAAGTAAGGTATTACAGAACTTTTATAGATTTGCTTGCGTGCATGGATTTTAATGTATCTACGTCTCGTTCTACCAGATGATATACAAGGAGAAAGATATGAATGAAGCGGATGGTTAGTATCTGGTAAGATAACACCTGCCAAGAGTTTGCAAGACTTAAGATGTCTATCCACAAGCATATTAACAATGACTTCAAAAGATTCACCACATACCTTGCAAACTGCCTTCAGCATTCTACGCAAAATAGCAAAGTCTTTTCTCAAAAGCCCAGGAAAGAATAATGGAGAACAATATAAAATAATAGGTAATATGCAGGAATTTACAAATTGTAAGAGTAAATGGCGAGTAATCCCAAAAGCATGCAGCCTCTTTATGTAGTATGTCAAACGGTAAGCTTTTTTCGATAACAATAAAACATGAGAAGACCAAGAAAGATCAGAGGAAAAAGTA